TTATACTATCGATATTATTAAAAATAGATCAATAATATTGATATATTTTTAAATTATGTTTCTTTCTCAAATATAAATGTGTGTTGTTCGATTTTTTTTCCAAGATGAAGACTGAATAATTTGGATTCAGTATTAAGTTCTTAACTATTATTGATTGGATATATTTTTTAAATTACCTTAATTTTAAAACAATATCCAGAAATGATACCATCAATTAAGTTCTATTTTAATCAAACTTTCATCCCTGTCTCAGCACCGGCAGAACTTCCTGAATGGAATTATGGATATAAGTAAATTAATTTAATATGAAATATGCGATAAATTCAATGTCTCTGATTTATTCTTTAAATTGTTCATAAATGTCAGAAATAAAACTGGCTTTAAGAAGTGCCAAGGACAAAAACTAGTAAAAAAAATCACTTTTAAATGGTTTATCACGAAGAGTTGTGCAAGTGGAATGTTTTGCTATCATAATTTAAGGAATAAATTAGGTCAAATGAAAAGAAGGCAATTGTTATGGTGGTAGTCAAATAATGACTTGATTGTCTGAAAGAATATTAATAACCATACATTTGATAATAGGATTTTTTAGGATATTTTGCTGTATATAGTACGTTATTTTGCTTTTTGAATGCTTTCTTCCGTACGTATTTAAAGATTTTTAAAATTAGATTTTAAATAATTAATCAGAATTTTTCGTAATTAATCAGATAATAGGATTTTTTACGCTATTTTGCTTTTTGAATGCTTGTTTCATCCGTACGCATTTCTAAAATTAGATTTTAAATAATTAATCAGATAATAGGAATTTTTAGGATATTTTGCTGTGCATTGTACGCTATTTTGCTTTTTGAATGCTTGCTTCTTCCGTACGTATTTAAAGATTTTTAAAATTAGATTTTAAATAATTAATCAGATAATAGGATTTTTTAGGATATTTTGCTGTACATATTACGCTATTTTGCTTTTTGAATGCTTGTTTCTTCCGTACGTATTTAAAGATTTATAAAATTCGATTTTAAATAATTAATCCGAATTTTTCAGGATATTTTGCTGTACATAGTTCGCTATTTTGAATGCTTGTTTCTTCCGAACGTATTTAAAGATTTTTAAATAATTAATCAGAATTTTTCCACTTCATATTTATACAACTAGAATTAGCACACCTATACATAATGAGCTTATTTTGCCGGATTCTATTTCATTTGTACTTTGTATTTAATTAACACATATTATTGGATTTTAAGTTCAAATTAGTCTACTAGATATATTTTGGGATGGGTCATTTTATCGATTTTAAATTATGTTTTTTGTTACGTTCCCTTAAATCTTATTACTGGCATACTATTTTATATGTACAATGAATTATGTGTTAGCTAAACCCTAAATAAATAATTGGATTTTGAGTTCAAATTAGTCTTAAAGAATTCTTGATATCAGATATTTTATCGATTTTTGGGATATTTATTTTCTGCATTTTATAAATCTTGTAACCGACACTCTTATATATAGGAATAATTTTACAAGGTACTATTTTGTATATGTAAAGAATTTGTGTCAAGCTAAGCCCCCCCCCCTCCAAAAATAACAGGATTTTAATTCAAATTTGTCTATTAGATGTTCTATTATAGCTCATTTTATTGATTTTTAAATTATATTTTTCGTTATGTTCCAACTGGTACACTATTTAAAAGATACTATTTTTTTTTGCGCAATGGATATGGAGTGTTTAAGCCCTTCGTAAATAATTAGATTCTAAGTACAAATTAGTCACCTGGATTTATTTTGGTATCGGCTATTTTATCTATTTTTTAGATAATATAATAAATTATTTTCTACGCTCTATAAATCCTTAAAACAGGCACTTTAATGTAACGGAGTTATTTGGCAGGACACTATTTTATCTGTGCAATGAATTTGTATAGCTAAACCTTCAGGCAAAAATTGAATTCCTAAGTTCATATTAGTCTATTAAACGTTTGATATGAGTAATTTTATTGATTTTTAAGATAAGATTTTAAATTATTTTTATTCTTTTACGTACTAAAAATCATAATATAATGTAATAATTTTAAAGGATACTATTTTATATTTGCGATAAATTTGTTATGTAGCTTAACCCTCAGGAGATAATTCGATTTCATGTTCAAATCATTCTACTAGATATGTTTTGATTTCGGTCATTATATTCCATTTTTTAGATAAGATTTTAAATTATTTTTTTTCTACGTTCCAAGAACCTTATAAATGGCACACTTTCGTATAATGGAATTATTTTTCAGGATACTATTTCACATGTGCAGTGGACTTGTTGTGTAGCTAAACCTATGTTATTTCTCAGAAAATCATTGAATTGTAAGATCAGATAAATTGTAGATTCTAAGTTCAGATAAATGAGCCTGTGTTTTTATAAGTGTTTGTAGATTTCCAAAATTCACGCATTTGCAACATCAATAGGATTTAATTCCGTTACTCAAATTTTAGTTTCTTTCTCATTGGGCAAATAATGTGATTTTAAATAATAATTGAAATTTTTTTATTTATTTCTAATATTACTTCACTATTATGCTTTTAAATAATTGACTTATTTTACAGGGCAATGTGTTAGAGCATCGGTTATTATATAGAAGATTAGTCAGGAGTTATTTCTGCAGATTGAAATTTTAACAAGGATTCTCAAAGAATAAGCCTAGTTAATATATGTAAGAATATTCTAATGATTCAGGGTAAGTTTTGTTACAAAATGTGTTTCAGTGATTTAACAATACATGTATTTATACATTTTAATGTAGTGACCCCTTTAAATGTTTCAGTAGATGAACGTGAGCATGGTTAAAAATATTTTTTTTCGGGTTTATTTTCATATTAATGTCACGTAAATAACGAACTGGTTAAAAGCTGCAATTCTAAGTAATAAGGCAAAGACTTATAAAAAATTATGGTCAGACAAAACTAATTTGCATTTGTTATTATTCTACTGTACTAGCGACTTAAGTAATTAAAAAAAAAATGTTCAACTTAGAAAATATTAAGATATTTTTGTTATGATAACTAACAAATCATAAAATTTGCAATCAGACTCCTTTTTTTTATTAAAAAACTTAACTTAGTCACGTGTAAACAACTTACTTTGAAAGCATTTTTTGCAATGCATGAACTTCCATTTTTTATTGCAATGCACTAGCTATTTTTTTTTTTTTTTAAATTAAAGTGTGCAACTTGAAGATCTTTCAGATGATAGAGGATTTTATACTGCAGAGTCCAGAATTTAAATGGTTTTTAAACTGTTTCAATAGTTGCTTCACAATTAAAAAAATAAATTGTTTTTCAAATATTGTTTTCCTTTAATTACAGTTCGGAAATTTTAGTGGAAAAATCTAAAGTTCTAAAAATAAGAGCAAGTTCGATTCACTAAGATAGTCGTTCACACGTTATATAAAAATGTTCCTGAATTTTCAAAATAATGCCAACTGGGCCAAAATACTACGTAACTCTACTGAGAAAAAAAAAACGCAACTTTAATAAGTTAACTGGACAATATGCCGAACTTCTTAAATTGAAAGAATACTCCAACGGCAAAAATGTTTATTCATCTTGTATCGAATGATGAAAGGGAAAAAAATTGTAGGGAAAAATGTAACCACTTTGTACTGATTTAGTTGAATCTAAAATCAGCAGTTTCGAAATAATAATCCAAAAACAAAAGTGCCGCGAATCTAGATACTACGCCTTCTACTTGTCGAAGTTGAAACTTATGGCTAAATAGAAATTGCGAGCAATTTGCCGGCATGAAATAATCGAATTATAAAATACATTAAATTCTTTAAATTTAAAAATGAAACAGCTTGTCTAAGGTTTTGAGACAAATTAAGTCTTAGGTTGTAATTTATTAATTATTAACCTAACTTTTTAGTAGTTCCCGTAATTCTAGTGGTCTAATTTATGTAATTATAATAGGACTCTGCAGTATATATCACTTGTACGCCACAGCTTGACCATTAGTAAATGGGGGAAATTTAATTTCTCAAAAAAGCTATTTCTAAATTTGTAAGTTTTTGCTATTATAATAAATTATAACAATCGCAGGAAAAAAGGATTTGTTTAAAATGAATCTGAGGTAACTCACAACAAACTTCTTTAAAATTAGAACTCATGTTTAAAGTTAGATTCCATAAATCAAAACTCACTGAAAATTCATGAAGATATCTTTTAATAAATGTCATCATTGTTTTTGTTGTAACATTTTAGTTTAAACTTCAGATATACCGAATTCGAGACTTGGGTGAAAAGTGTCGCCATTGAAGAAGTAACAACAAACCAACAGTATTACAAAAATTAATATAAGGATTCATTCTAAAATACAATACATTCATAAGGCGATTTTTTTGTCCGATCCAAAAATCTAGGTTAAATTTTTTTTTTTATAATTAAGTTTTATAAATCTTTTGGTTTATAGAAATGTCCAGGCAATCTGCTGAACTATATCACTGAGTGAAATAAATCAAGTATAGTTTGCCCCATTCTAATTGGACGATCCATATTTACATTCCAATGGAAACGTATTCCTATTGGTTGCTATTTGTAACTGAATAATTATTGAACGATTACTGGTAAAAGAGCGCAATATGGCATCAAAAATTTGTATATGTAATGCCAATCCTGATACATAGCATCTAAAAGCTTGAGATTCAGATCTTGACTTGAAAAATGGGACATAATTGTAATATTTATCAACTTTTATGTATTTATTCTATCAACATATTTCAAAAACTCTTATTCTGCGATTTACGAAAGAAAGGCTAACCACTTTTAATTTTCATCTACAGCTAATTTTTAAACGTGATTTGTGATGTAGGCAACATATTTTGGGCAACCTGATAGTAGCAGATATTATAACACATTCTTACTATACAAATACAAACATAAATTACTATAACTCGGTAAGTATAACTAATTATTAATTGGTGGCATACAAGTGATAAAGAAAAGATACTGAAAACTAGAACGTCAATTATTTTAATATCCTATAATATACATGTTTTTTTCTTTTTCACAGGTTATCAATAAATACACTATGAACACATATAAACGTCTTCTTAGGCTTCGGACAAATGGCGTAGCTAAGATTATAAATATACAAGACCAGAGAGAGAGAGTTGATCTCTTCTACGAATATCACTCATCTTTTAGTTTATTCCAGAAATAATTCTTCAACGCATAGTCCGTAAAAATTACTTGTGGATAAACACCTATAGGAAAAAATAAAAGGAAAAAAACAAAATTAATTTCAAATAGAAACTATTAAACTAAAATATTTTCGCATGTGTCTAACATTGAATAGTTCTGAACAATTGCTAGATTTAAAATAAATGAAATGAACTAGGTTTGCGATTTCAAATCTTTAACTAGTATAGAATAACTTTTGTTAGTCTGGCAATTTGCTAAAATGACTTTTTTTTAAAGTTTTTAAAAACTGGCAGGTTGCCAAAAGAATTATAAATTCCATTTCTAGCTAAGAAAATTGAAAATAATAATATAAACAAAATCCTTAACAAGGAAAAACCTCACTCATATAAACTGTTCTTATAATTTTTCAAATCAGTTACTAGTTATTGTTCAAGTTCGCTCATAACTATCTAATTTCAGATTTATAAACGTTTAAACAAGTTATATTCAGAACTTTTCAATGAAAATGAGTATTCTGAAAGTTCTTTTAAAAATAGAACATGAAATAATCCTATTAAATGAAACGAATTTTTTTTCAAAGATAGCTTTTATTTCAAATTTATGTAACAGAATATTTTCTTAATTATGAATAACTAAATTTTTTTTTTGTGCTTTTTATATAGAATTCTTAAATTAGCTGTTATTATGAAGCATTTAAATTAACTACAGAGTGAATATAGTTTAAATCAAAATGGGATCTTACACTTTTTTATATAATTAATTAGATTTCAAAAATATAGTTTAAATCAAAATAGATTCTTTAGACTACTTTTAAAAAAAATTTAAAAAAATATTTTTATTGATTAATTAATTCGATTCCAATCTTTAAATGTTAAACTTATATTAATACTTTTGCATTCTTGAGTTAATTTTACATAATTGTAAAAAAATTAACTAATTAAATTAAAATTTTATCCTTTTGAAGTGTTATACTTTGGATCGTGAAAAAGTTTCTAGGATTATTTCATGTACAAAAAAATATTTTTCAAAACATTGTAATAATGCTAAAAATAAAATCAAAGAAAGGTTATAAGAAAAGAAATAAAAAAGTGAGAGAAAAGGCATTGAAGATATTAACTGGAATAAACTAAAGAGAAGTTAAGAAGAAAGTGTAGAGAAGTGACTTAGAGAAGTCGTTCGCAATGCAATACAAATACAATATAGGACAGTTAGAAGTGCAATTTTTTATTCACCTAAAGATAAGCCAGAGAATATGTAATTAAAAGAAAACCAGTATTTAAAGTGATAAAAGTTTATTTCGTGAGAAAAAGAGGAACAGAGAGTAATATATCACATTTGTCGGTTGGTAACTTTTTTTGTTTTTTTAATAAATAGTAAAATTATATTTTCATACTTTTCAAACTCTATACAGGGCATTTATTTGTTGCTAAACATTCTCACACAAGATGTACGACTTTCCCCGTGTTACATATCCATGTGATGTCCTTTTTCGCCGATTCTGGAGATCGAGAAAAAAGTTGGTATAATAAAAGCTATTTCTTCTTGAAAAAAATAAATTTTGCTTAAAATCAATAGAGATGCCAACATTAAGAGACAATTTACCGCAGTTCAAAGGTATTTTCCATAGCTTCAGTGAAAGATTTACCCGATTTTTTAATCACCAGTTGTAGAAACGCAAGAAATTATAATTAAATCGAAATAAGTATTCAAATATAAAACATATCAATTAGTTTTGGTTAAATTGTGGAGGATTATGCAATCGATGTTTTAAGATTGCGTCAAACGAACGACTTAAAAGGTAATCTGACGAAAAGTCAACACCCAAATACGATGTTTAACTAGATAACTTCAGCCTAAATGAATTTAATCAAATCCTACATCAGGTCAAAAATATTAAATGGCTGATTGCATGTAAGGTTTGCTGGAGAGCAACATACTTAAGATATTAAATTCAGATGTTCTGCAGGCTAGTTTTCATGCATTTACTGATATGATTCCATACTAATATCGCAGTATTTTTTCTTCTTTTTTTGGTTAACCTTTTGACGCGGAATGTTAATTGAACATATTTTTCATTATTTTGTATTAATTTAGGTCAAAAAAGGTGAAAATAATTATAGTTAGAATTGTAATAATTTATGGTTCACAAATACAGCACGAAATTTTGGTGTTCTTTGCAGCGTTAGAGCTAAAATCTTCCAAACACGATTCACTTCCAAGCAATTTTTCAAATTTACACTTATTTAAATCTAAAAAAAAAAGTTATTTATCATTGAAATTCATTTAATATACAAAATCGTTTATTACTAAATACTTGAAAATGAATTAAAACTATTTTTTTTCTTTTTATATTTTAGTACATATATAATTCCGATAATCCAACAGATTTTTTAGTAACAATTAAATTTCTTTTTCTATAATTAATATATTTTTGCATGTAATTAGAGGGTCAAAAAAATATAAGGGACAACTATGTTCCATCTGCGTCAAAGGGTTAATATGATGTAATCCATGTCTGAAAGAGCAAAATTCCCAGATATGAACACCCAGAGCAACGCCCAAGATCCAAAGAATTTGATATTCTTCACTTTCAAGTAGTTTTATCTCAATTGTATTTATTTCTGGACGTTGAACAAATTCCACAAAAATTTTGTTTTCATGATATTAGTATGGAGTCTTTATACAGCATTGAAACTGGGTCTGTAATGTCTTTTACAAGAAAATATAGACGTAATGCTATGTCTAACAATAAACCGAATAACTTTTAAAATTGAAACAATGGTCAAATTCCGTAGTAACTAAGGAAACTCCATAACGGTTGGCATCTCTTAAAACATAAAATACATTGATACAGCTCAGAGGTTTATTACAAGCCATGAACGAGCACTGAACGACCATTCGAGCTCAGGTTCTTGCAAGCAAAGAAAAAAAAAATCACGAAACAAAGTCGCATTCAAAAGATTTCGCACTGTTTGCACAAGTCATAAGTTCATTATTTACAGATGTTGTGCGTAGTGGCAGCTATTCTTATTGATATTTATGCACACGAAAAATAAGACCACAAATGTTTTTTTAAATAATAAGTTTCACATCTTAGCCATGGTCTTTAACCAGTAGCACCAAACTTAGACAAGCGTTAACTAATTAAATATTTGTACAAGCCAGAAATATGTATCAAATCTATTTCACATTTAGTTTACATCTGAAATTCGATACGAAAATAAACTTATGCAAAATATATGATATTTCAGCACTTTTAAAAGGACATATCTAAATACACACAGAGATTTAAAATGTATGACTTTACAATTAAGATATATATTTTACTTTTCAAAGACATAGTGTACATGAAAAAACAATCGGCCTGATACCTTGACAGGCTAATCAGCAACAATCATTATGAGAATTGATTTTAACAGGAATAAATGTTTTATCAATTAACTTATATAACATATCTAATTAACAAATATAATTAACTAAGCTTCATTAAACAATCACAGCAAATCTAGACAATTCATAAATGGATAACTAAAACATAACATCTCACTTAACAATTAATGAAATAATCTTCCTAGAAAATAGATATTAGCAATTTTTAATATTTTGTTGTAATAAACATAAACTTAATTACTATTACCATGATGTTTAAACGTTTGGTGATGTAGGTATGAAAATTCAGCACAATTTTTATGAATAACGTTTAGACGTATTCATAAAACATGGTTCATTTAAAACAAAATTTTACAAAACACAACCTGATACAAACAAACAAAATAATTTAAAAAACGTTGATATAAGCTACAAATGGCAAGAAATATCCAGCATATGAAAATTGCAATGAGAAATATTTATTCATAGTTTTTAAAATGTTATTTCATTATTTTGGTATAAGCACGAAGCCATTATTCAAAATATACATTTTTCAGAATCCCTGCATAAAATGAATGTATATTCATTCAAGTAATATACCTGTTTTGCATGATTTTCAAAAAATATTATACAGACCTCTACAAAAAAGATTAAAGCTAATTTCATACTTATGCCCCATATAAGTAGTTTACAAAATAGCAACTTTTTGCTATTCTGTATGCAACTGTAATGTAAAAATTTAGCCTTTACTCGTGGAATTAACTTTAAATTTCTATAACATACACCAGTTTATAACAGCTGAATACATCCCATAAAAATGCAAAAGAAATATTCGATATGAAACCAGCGGGAAAGGAAATATAAAAACAATACTTGATTTGGAAACATCTAAAATTTTATCAGTACAGTCGGCAAAAAAAAAAAGATATCACCCTGAATAATTTTCGTTCTAATGATCGGATTTTCACGAACTAAGTGTTAATCTTAATGGTTCCTGGGGGTGACCTCAAATATGCTAATTAATTAGTGCTAACTATTAATTAAGTTACGAAATCAGACACAAAAACGTACTTTCTCTGAATAAACATATATTTTTTCTTACATATTTGGATTCTTAACCTTCAAAATATAGGGGGTAGCCGCAATCTGGGAAATATGGTCCCCATAGTTTGGTCAGGAGAGCGATCCAAAGTTCGTACCCCTTAATGTTAATTTCACTTTTTACGTTTTTAGTCATATTTTAAAAACTAATAAAGCAATTCGAAGAAAATTTCACCCAGTCATAAAACTCATTTACCCAAAGATAATTTCACGAAAAAAATAATTTTTAATAATTGTTAATTATTTTTTATTATTTAATTAAATTAAGGATGAAAAATTTTTGAATTATAAGGTATGAATTTTTTTATACCATATTAATCTACATATTTTTCAATTGAAAAATCTAAAGTTTCAACTGTTTTTATTTATTAGAAGCTGAGAAAAATTAAAATTAATTATTTTTAAAAAAATAATTTGGCGACAATGAAGAAATGATTAAATGGAGCGATTAATATTAAAATGTGATAAACTTGCGAGGAACTTGACTTCGCGCGCTTAGCATAAAATTTCATTCATATTTTTTTCGCTAATAATCGTTTGCTTATCTTTTCATTTTTATTTTTTTAAGCTATAAAATACGATGTTTCTTCTTTAGTCGTCTAAAATTCTATTTGCAATTTAGTAAAGAAATTTGAATAAAACATTTTATTGAATAAAATACATTTTATTCAGAGAATGTGGAGTTTTATAAAAGCATGCTTCTGATAGAATATGATTATACAACAGATTGTGCTTCTTTAATGTGATTTTTTTTTATTTTTTTTTTCTCAATAACTGATAAAATTTCAATAATATACATACGAATGAATAAATTTGGAATAAAATATTCATCAATTTCTTGAATATATATTTTATAAATATTAATAAAAATACGTAGTCAACATTTTTAAGCATCTCTCACAACATCGCAAATTTCTCAAAATCTTATAGGGTAAACTAACCAGTGAAGGAATACTTAAGCTTAGCTTGTCTTTAAAAAAAAATCATAAAAATTTCAAAATTTGTAATTTTAGCTAAATGACGTATTTGTTATTAAATGCATGTCGACATATTTGTTATTAAATGCAAATTATGTAAAAAAAATTTAGATAACTTACATAATATTGTTTTAAGCTTTTGGTGGTTTAAATAATAAGTAGTAAGATAACCAAGTGAAGGAACAGTTCTTAAATTGAATAAACACTAAATTTTCCAGTGAATGAACACTTAATTTTGAGAATGTTTGATGCTCGTTAGGAATCCTTAGGCCACACAGATATCTGTCGCCCTGTAGATGCCTGAATTGACGGATGTTAACACAGGCGGGCATTAGGAAAAAAAATCTTTTAAGTTTTCGTGCCCCCATTTCAGTATCTTAAGGGCCTTACGAGCTCTGTTTAAAAAGAGAGTATCATATCAGATATATATATATATATAAGAAAACAAAAATAATCATAGTAGCAGTATTTGGTGGTAAATGTAGCTTATCGTAATTGAAGAATATGCTGTGCGACATTTTATGGTGAATTTGCGAACGTAAGTTTCAGAATGTATCGAAACATGTGGATGCTATTTGCTAATCATCTTTATCCAAAGAAAACCATGTAACGTAAATATCTAGCAAAATGAAGCAATTTTTTAAACAATGAATCATACAATATGCAACATATTATTTCTATATCTTATTCTTAAACATAACATATTTCAATGTTTTTAAAATGCCACTAAACATTCAGCAATTCATTGAGTTATAGAAAAAAGAAATCGTAAATTACAGAAAACCTTGTGAATGTGCATTAGAATTACTATACAATCTACATTTTATTTTTCATGCACTTTTTTTTCCTTCAAACTTTCATGCCTAGAAGACTCGATTAAAGCTGTAAAAATCATTATCCCTAAAATTTTGTATATAGCTATTATAAGTTATGTTAATTTGATTTTAGTATGAAATCCTCGAATAAACATAGCAAAAATAGCATAATCTAAATAATATCAGATAAAAAGTTCATGTATTTAAATTCTGAAAACTTATAAATCGATTCAAATTTTCTTTTCAAAAGAGATTAAAATAATTTTTTATTTTATTTATTTATTTATTTTTTTTGCTTTTTGGACATAAATGAACTTAAAAATTGTCTATTGCCTAGAAACTTCGAGGTGTTTTCTATTAACTATTAATTAAACCTCTCAGAGCAATCACAAAACATTATTTCAATTTTTTTACAGTCAGAAATTGGTTGCCTAGCAACCTAGTAAAATTAAGCGTTTCTCTTTTGAATCAGTAAAGGGTTATCTTAAAATATTTATTTGCGCAGGCGACTTTTTTTGGCGGTTTTCTGGACTATCGCCAAATATATAAACCTTTATTGCAACCCAATTTACGACCCAATTGTTTTAAAATTTTGTCTACCCCCCCTAATTCAAGTGTCTAGATTCCAAATATGTAAAAAAAAATATATGTTTATTCAGAGAAAGTACGTTTTTGTGTCTGATTTCGTAACTTAATTAATAGTTAGCACTAATTAATTAGCATATTTGAGGTCACCCCCAGGAACCATTAAGATTGACACTTAGTTCGTGAAAATCGGATCATTAGAACGAAAGTTATTCAGGGTGATATCTTTTTTTTTTTGCGGACTGTACATACGTATTCTGTAAATATAGTGAAACCTCTCAGGAGCGACCACTCTCTGCAAATGGTCAAACGAGTAAAACGGTCGTAAATAGAGGTTGGTCGTTCTTAGGGGTTATCTCCAATGACTTCAAAATGTTAAAGCAGGGACATGGTTTTTCGCAAACGATTTTAATTTTAGTCAGAGTAATTTTCTTGTGGTGGAAATGCCACTTTTGTTGGCATCATGAAAATCGGAACGATGTATAAAACTTAGCGTCAATAAAAATGATCCTTACTGATATAATTATGTGTAAAAACAAATTTACCAATTATGAATGATAGATCTATTTTAAATAAATAAACAATTACGTTTTTTGTTTAAGTTTGCATTTAAGTTTACTTCATAAGAAATTAGTTAGCTTTAAAAAAATGAGGTTTTTTCTTTGAGATGCTTAATTTTTGCAAAAAAAAACTTTTTTTTAAATCGAATTTAACTTTCAACTCTAAAAATAAATCGTCTTTAGTGCCTCAGACTGCAACATGAGATAGATTTCTTTCATAGATCGTCAAAAACAGAGCTCTAAATAAGATCCTCACACAAATATTTTGAATACATTTTAATCTACTTATATGGTTTGCTAATATTTTTTGTTTTTATATTTTTTAGTGTTTCCTTATTTTAAATTTTTCGTATTTGGTGCAAAGGTTTGCCCGGGAGAAGTTCTGGTGGTCTTTCTTAAAGGTTTTCTTCAACACAAAGTCTATGGAAAAAATTCCCTGCCTCTCAAAAGTGGTCGTAAATAGTGGTGGTCGCTACATAAAGGTGGTCTTTCCTGGAGGTTTCACTGTGCTAGAGTTGAGTTAAAGCCTTAAATAATAAAATTGTAAATTTATAAATTTCCTGAGCTGAATTGAGAAGAACCATATAACCGAGCCGCATAGACATACCAAAGTTTTAAAAGAGTACTATCTTTTTTGTTCCTCAAAAAATTAGAATATTGTTAATTTTAATATTGTTAATAGAAAATTGTTTATTTTAATAGTTTAAGCTAGAAAAATATTACATTAATTTTACCCCACTTTTTATGCCCTTGGCACAATCTAGTTTAATCCAAAGTCCAAAAAGCATTATATTCAAATATGTCAAAAAATCGTACTGTACATTTAAAATGGATAAAATTCTGAAGTTTTGGTAAATTATTGGAAGATAGGTAGGTCTCCTTAACCCCGCCCCCCATGCGGCTTTGGCAACATGTCCTAAAGAAAATTTAATAAATAATCATAGGTAAAGCCTTCGTTGAGTGCATGACTGCGTGAACTGTAAGACTCGTGAACAAAAAATTATGTTATCATATTTATCTGATTTCTCCTTTGCGGTTTGTACTACTTAAAAATAGCATATAAAGATTCTATGCAATATATTAGCATCAAAACCATATAACACTTATAAAGTTTTATAAGTATATAAATTTGAAAAATGTCAAGTCCCCTACTCAGTAACCAGTGCTATTTGGGTAGTAGAATGCGAGAAATGGCAATTTCAAAGTATTACTTTTAAATTAATCATAGAAATAATTAAAAGCCAAGCGGTGTTCAGTTTACCATAAAATTATTTTTAAATTTAAAATTGAAATTTCACGAGAGGATGATTAAAACGAAAATTCATGGATAATTAATACATAATATGAGAAAAAAGTAATTTAAAATATGTTAGTTTACAAGAAAGTATTAAAACTGGAAGGAAGGGGGAAAAAAAAGCATATCATACTTTTCTCGGTTATGAAGTACAGAAAGTTTTTAAATTTACTTAGAGCAATATCTTCACTTATTTTTATTAATTTCTTAATTAATTATGATAATAATAACTTATATATTTTTTTAATAATTAGCATATTCCATATACATTTAAGTGCATATGCCGTTGGCGAATTGGAAAAACCAGCTCTTTTGCAAAGAACCAGACTAATTGGAGAAGTCTATAGGCATATTAAAGAGCGAAGAATTCATATATCATCCACAATTTGCAGCAAAAGGCGCTAATAAGTGTTTTAGAATACATGTTTTCTAATTAACCTAATGGTAAGTTGGCTGATTGTAGTCTGAAGTCTGACTGATTAATAAAGAATAGGCTTTTCTATTTAGTCTGGCGCATTGCAAATTGATGTTGACGTTTTGCAAACAACTAGATTTTTCAATGAACCAACGACATACATAAATTATCTTTGGAAGTATATTTTGGTTTTTTACTTAATAATCCAGCTCATCAAGTTGCTTGCCAATTCGATAAGATTGAAGAAAATCGTAAAATTCTAAAACATAACCTTCCATTGAAAAAGAAAATGGAGGGTTCATAGAAATGAATGCATTTCAAAAGGCGTGAATAAATTTCAGATTCAAACTATGAATTTCGCTATTCTTTAAAAAAAAAAAAAAAAAAATGGGAACTAATTGTAAAAGTGCTGAATTCAACCGCCTTTGGGCATGAACACATTCTAAGAGGGAATCACGTCACTTCACACGAGATTTTACTTTGAGCTAAAACCTTTTATGCTTTCAAAATTTATTCAAGAAAACACGCCTGGTTTTGAAATTTACTTTCCTACATCAAAAATCGAATTTGCAAGCATAGCTGCGTTAGACTAAATGCATTCAAGATGTGTTATTAAGATGCAAATAATTAGCATTTTTAGCCAAATCTTAATTCGACTTTCAGCTTCATTAAATGAATTAATATATTAATACAACATGCAATAGTTTATAATTAGTCATTTCCACATGAAATTTATTATTAATAATGAATTAAATGATTTAATGAATTCAGGTGAAAAACTGAAAATGGCGTAGAGGAGGACATAATATAAGTTGATGAAGCAGCTGTGAATGTTCATCAGAACTAATTGACTATGAAGAACTAATTAGCATAATTAACGATATACATTCTCTTTTATTTGAAATTTAAGCGAATCGAACCTGAAACCAATTGTCTAACGGGCATACTAATTATAATAGGTTTTTTAGTTAGAAATTTCAATACTAATATTAAACAGAAAATGGAACTTAGTGACTACAATTTTTTCTTCTTCCACGATCTTCTTCCAGGATTCTAACTCTTAGGGTTAAAATCCCATTTAAATAGTATGTAAAACAAATGTGAAATTAAAGTAAGTTAAGATTGTAGCACCACCAAGTCTTGACTTTTGTTACCTTGAATTATGTGTAACAGCTCGAAGTTTCCGCGAATTACTAGAAATCTAGTGCCACGATTCAGAAGAAATCTAATTCACAGACAATTTATTAGTTTGTAAAATTTGTCAATCATTCTTGCTGCATGACCTAAAATAGTATTTATAAGTTTAGCCTAAGCAGTTCCCACTTTTTTTAGTTCCTCCATTTGCTTAGATTTTCAAATCGTATAATTAAATTTCGGCCGCTGTCCAACGCACAATTACCGCCACAAAACTTGTGTTCATTTAAAATGTAGTACCAAGCAAAAATTGAACCCATAAGTGAAAGCTTCTAAATCGGTCTTGTGTAAAAATAACATAGCTTAAACTTGTTTTATCAACGTTCAATTAAGAGTAATGAAAAACTGTTTTGATCAAAAAAAGATATTGATATCTCAAATAACGTCAATTAGGTGGTTTGACACTTATTATGAACAGAGAACAGAGTTGTTGACTAACTTTAGCAAGTAACTTCGATTTTTATTAATAGAGGGCGCTTCTTATTGTAGGGAAGCAGCATTACATTTGAGACATTCCATTCTGGGGTATTGCGATAGCCTGATGAATAACAACTTATATACTGATCAAATGAAAGTTATATTTGGAAATACAAAACATTTTAAAAGTTAATAAGACAATTATTGTGCAGCAGCTTTATCCTTCTGAAAAATCAATTAAGAAAATTATTGGAGGAAAAAAATTTATTCTCGTAACGAAAAGATAAACATAAGTTTATGTAGAATATTTTGTCCTTAAAGTTCAATAACTAAACTAAATTCAGTGGTGTGACAGCCCAGAGGGCCAAGGCCTACTGTGCCCATCTCAGTTTTCTTGACCTTTGGGCTCTGGGGTGCACGAGCAGTTGTTCAGGTTGAGTGGTACTCATTTTATCGACCCACTGAAGGGATGAAGGGCTGAGTCAATCTTGCCCGGCCAGAGGTCCAGTAAACTTATGTCGAATATTGACATGTTATTTTAAATGCTTTTTTGATTACTTTCAAAAATGTTTTACGTCCTACCTCGGACGGTATGCTGAAGTAACGGGATAGTTGCCTATTAGTCATCGGAACATTCACGTCTGCTTCATAATTCACGAATGATGTTAGTTATCTAACTGTTCTGCTCTAAGGAAGAGGTAGTAACAGCATATTAGAATAGGTATTATGGGCGAAGAAAGAAGTCGACCTACCTGCTGCATTTTTTCGAAGTCTAGAGACGGTCGATGGTCGACAAGATTTGTACTAGTAGAGGTGGCCGCCGAGGCAGCCAGGAGTGTGCGCCTATGTCTCTTCCTAGGCGAGACGGAGCACAGCTCATGTGGTGGGATCGTCGTCGAGGCGTGGAATAGCTTAGGTGGAGGCGAAAGCGACCGGCTGGGCTTGGGGACGTTGGCCGGCGGAGAGGAACGGAACTCGACGGGTGCCGAGACACACATTAGGTCCCGAACCTCCTCGTCCGAGCCGGACCCGGATCCGAGACTAAGTCTGTTGTTGGCCTGCGACCACTTCCGCTTCTCCGGGTACTTGCTAGGCCCTCCGCTTGTGCTGCAGTTTATCACTTCTAGCTCCTCTTCGGAGCTGTGGTGGTCAAAGTTGTGGTCACTGTCGCTAGGCAGAGCAGAGTCGAGCAGGTTGGGGCTTGGCTGGCCGCCGATGGCACTACAACGGCCCTCCGTCGTATCCGTGATGGTATCCAAGGTGCTGCTCGCTCGGTCTGAAGGAGCGGAGCTGCCATCACAGTGCAAGGAGTCATCCATGTCTGAAATGACCACAAAACACAGAATTAATGACTAGTATTAATGATGACATAACCATTTCGCTGTCTGTTCTTACATTAACTGGGAACAACGTGAGTAACTTCTAAAATACCACTGGCTCTCAATGTACGATGTAAAAAAAATAATAGAATGAGAAAATTCTTACTGAACTAAAATAGAAGGCTAACTAAATTTAAAAAAAAACGCATGAATCTAGTTTGATGGCAAAAAGCATAAAAAAATTAAACAATTTTGGCAGCTAATACAATATTATCAAAATTTGTACTGCCACTGTGCTAGCTCTGCAACTAGAATAATAGTTGTGAATGTACTAGCATTTTAAATTGTCTGTAAAAAGAGGTCACCTTTATAATGATCTTAGATCATCTTTATAAAGCTTTCGCTTAGTTTCGGTGTAAAGTTTCCCTGAATCAGATATCAATTATACTAAATATTAAGTCTATCGCCAATAAGGTTTACCAAAATATTAAACGATTCCTGATAATAAATCACATCAAGAAGTGGAGTATAACTGAAGATACAGAAATCTCCAGATATAGATTTCCCATGTGACGGGATAATTATCACATAGTTCAAAGTTATGGAAATAATAAACCAGGCGACAAAAGAGATGAAAACATCCAAATCATTCAATCGTACAGTGGGTTGATGAAAAATCGACAAACAAAACATTCTAGGGTTTACTGGAGCCACAAATAGGTGGCGATTTACGGAAATCGTGATTTAATTAAATCATAGAAAGTAAAATAGAGAAGACATGGATCAAAATTGGAGAACACACAATTATTTTCAAACGAAAAAAATCTTGTGCCGTTTGATATATAAGACAGAATTAATTCTCATCACACATTAATAACATAGTAAATCGAATGACTCAAAATATACACGTATATTATACACGTCTGAATGTGAGTACAAAAAATAACGAGGTACAATTGTTATGCTTTGTCGAAAAGCACCAGTTGACTCGTAACAGATCTTCTTAGAAAGAATATATTGCTAGCAAGAAACCTCTAGGATAACAAATTTTATACAATATAAAAATCATGTCATTGTTATAATTGAATATCATAAAATGATATTACCACGATAACATGGTATCGTAAAATTGACAAACACGAGCGAATGAAACAAGACTATTCATCTTGAAACACGATAATTTAAATCGAAATCATTCTAATACCATTATACTTTCAGCTAAGCTGATTAAAGTTAAATCAAATCGATTATTTCAATGCTCCAAAAATGAAATGTAGGCCATAAGCAGTGTATGATAAGGTTCTATCTTCCGATTACTTTGATTCAAAAATGAAATATACGTCAACAGCTTAAAGTTCTATCTTCTGCTTTTATTAGCCGAACAGCCACTTGTGTCGATAATTGTTTTAAAAGCAAAAGGCTTTCTTTCTTTCTTTTTTTTTTTCGGCGCGTTTCTTTGGCGATAATTCTTTAAGCAATGGCGGCAGCAGCAATTCTGTTCGTCCAGAAAGTTTTTTAAAAGCATCCCTTTAAGAATTTCTTAAATTTGAGGAAAAATTATCAGTTGCAAAAAAAAAAAAANAAAAAAAAAAAAAAAAAAAAAAAAAAAAAAAAAAAAAAAAAAAGTATTAGAACTACGTATCAATTTTTGACTGAATAACTTACTTCAAATTCAAAGCCAGTTCTTTTCATACTCTCATACGCTATAATAATTGTTTAGTTTCATACTCTATAATAAACGTTTTATGAATTTAACAAGTTTGTAATAAGAATAGAAGCATGGCGTCAACAGAGCTTATTCCAGACCTTTTATTAAATATCCGTGAAAGGAAATAGTGAAAAATATACTCATTATTTCGTGAATTTGGAAAAATAGGGTTCTATTTTTGGGACGGAATAGACTCAACGAAGCGTATTCCAGACTTTTGATTAAATATCCGTGAAAGGAAAAAGTGGAAAATATACTCATTATTTCGAGAATTTGGAAAAATAGGGTTCTATTTTTGGGACGGAATAGGCTCAACGAAGCGTATTCCAGACTTTTTATTAAATATCCGTGAAAGGAAATAGTGAAAAATATACTCATTATTTCGAGAATTTGGAAAAATAGGGTTCTATTTTTGGGACGGAACAGAGCTTATTCTAGACTTTTTATTAAATATCCGTGAAAGGAAATAGTGAAAAATCAACTCATTATTTCGTGAATTTGGAAAAATCGGGTTCTAATTTTGGGACGGAATAAGCTCAACGGAGCGTATTCCAGACTTTTTATGAAAGGACTGTTAAAGGAATTTTTTAAAAATCTACTCATATTTTTTTTAATTTGTGGAATTATGGACCTATTTTTGTGATTTTTTATTTTACCTGAATCTAAAAATACCATAAAATCGGTTTCCTTTGGTGAAAAAAATCCCCCCCCTTTGTGAAAAAAAGAATTAATTGTTTGAATGTGAAAGAGTCCATTAACATAAATTTTCTCTGAAATGACCCCTGCTCGAGGTTCTTGAAAAACTTTTAAAATCCCATTTCTATACGTACTAGCAATATTTCACACTTTTTATTCTATTCAAGAAACAAAATCAGACAATAAAGACCGCAGGAAGAATTTCAAATACACAACAGTTTCATTAAAACAATGTCTTTACGCAGCAGCTACGCTCCCGCACAAGTCACACAGATTACAGCACGGGAATGTTGCAGGGGCTCCATCACGCCATTCTTCATCTTCTCTCGATCCAGGGGCGTAATTGTTCGGAATCCTGACTCTCTCCCTACCCCCTCTCAATCTTCACTTCCATTTCAGAATCTAATGCCCTGGCTCGACGTAGATAACACGCTTTTCCGAAAATGAGACCCTCGGGCGAGCTGGATGTGCCGGGGCTTTCATTTAAACAGCCGTACGCCCTCGCTAAGTATGCTAACGAGCTGATATGATAAGAGAAGAGGAACTATTTTCTGGCGCTTTCCTTTTATTTCTTGATTCGGGATGCGTGATTGGGAGTGAGTTCGCAGGCGTGTAAACTGGAAGGAATGGAAAGGCATATCCGCCTTACTTCCTTATTTACCGACGCTTAAAAACAAGAATAGGAAGGCTAGATAATTTCAGAGGCATTCTTTTTGATACTTTTTAAACTTATCGATTTCAATCACCCTCTAGGAATTTTATACTCCACCCCTCCTTCTATTGGGTTTGAAACAGCTGATTAAGCGTATTCCGACTTACGGGATAAAAAAAAAAGTGGGAGAATTAATTTTTGATTCGGGGTTAGAAAATCGATAAAATCCTGTTTAATGGAAATTTAGATTTATTCTGTATTAAAACAAATACGTGTTTTAAGTACCTTATAATGAATACATAATATTTATTTAGTATTCGAAGCAAATCCCAAATAAGATATTTTTATTTACAAAACTTGGAAGATATTTTTGCTATGAAAATTGTGATAAAGTGTATTCAGACTTACGGGATAAAATAAGGGAGCAATTAATTTTTGATTAGAGGTTTAAAAATCGATGAAACCCTGTTAAATAGAAATTTAGATTTATTCTATATTTAACAAGTACATGTGGGCCGGGATAGCCTGGTCGGTATGACGATGGGCCCATGTCCGAGAGTTCGAACCACGCAGGTCGAAGACTTCCCATGAGGTAAAGTGACTGATGCACGTTAAATCTGTCGAGTCGCCAAGTCCTCCATAACAAATCTATACCTCTCGGGGTACTGGATTGGAGCAGAAGTTCTAAGAGTGTGGGATTATGAAGATACCAAAAAAATGACAAAAAGTCATTGGATTTTTTAAAAATTTTTTTTATGAAGACCAAAGTTTTAAGAGTGCGGGATCATGAAGATACCAAAAAGTTATTGGACAGAATGGGAGATATTTAACCGATTAAGGATCTTTTTTGTACAGAAAAAAATTTAGTTTCATTTCAAACTTAAAAAAACGAAATTACTTACTTACCAACCCAATATTTAAGGCATGCCTTAATATAAAAAATGTAGAATTAGACTCCGAAATTTTGAGGCATAATTCAAAGCACTAAATACCTTCATCAAGTCTAAGCTTGCCACTAAACATCAGCAGTGCCCGGCTTAAGAAAATTTTGGGTCGGTAAGAGGAGCCTTCACACATCTATAAATCGTAAAAACGAGCCCTTCACAAATTATTTAGTTACAAAAAGACTTTCGTTTCACAATATTTTATATCGATCCTTCACTAAATTTTTTTTTTAAAAGCAGAGCTAAATGCGCCAGTCTTACAAAATTTTAAAACTCCTTGTAAGACATAGTTTTGAGTCTTTTCTTTTTCTTTTCCTTCCACAAATACGAGTCCTGGTCGAAGGAACGATTCTACACTGATTTTACATTCAGATATTTCCACTAATTGCTCAAATACAACCTTTTACAAAAAGTCTGAACCGACCACAAATTTTTATGATTTTTCACAAAATCATCAAATCACAGCCCTATTTTCACTTTCCCAATTTCACAAAAAGTCTTGAAAGACTCTAATCAGCATAAAATATGGCCAAAGTTCCCTTAAAAAAAATAAAAGGAAACGTACTATTTTAGGAAATATTTAACAATAGAGCAAAGAAGTGATAAAAAGTCCACACTGAGGTCACAGAAAAGAGTGCAAAAAAAGGCTAAAAATAGGGCAATAACATTTTAAAGAATAGAGAGTATCCACCTTCGAATCCTCCTCACGGGAGTGGTCGTTGCTGTTCGGGCAAAAAAAGAAAAAAAAAGAGGGTGTTTTCGGGCAGAAAAAAAAAGAGAAAAAGGGTACTTCAAAGAGACGTCACGCGTTAAGTGCACTGATGAAATCTTTTTTTTTTTCCTAAAGAAAAATGAAGGTAAAAGAAAAAGTCGCTTTAAAACTCAGCTGATCGCCGATTACCACTGATAACTTCAAGTATTTTTTTCCCCTCGCAAAAAAGATTAGAAAGAAGAAAACCAGCGCATAGCGCGGATGTGTCTTAGTCAACTTCCGCTTTAAGA